TGTGTTTTCCTTTTTTAATTGTTTAGACAAATATATTTGGTCTTCTCTATCCAGCATTTCACCGGATGACCTTGAGTGAGAGAGAGGACATTTGTGAGCAATCTATGGCAAGCATACAGAATGCCTTTCAAAAATTTGTTTGAATAAATTTTTTGAATCTGAATTGTATCGAATGTATGGTGTCCTTGAAATTACTAGACATTAGAATATTTCAAATGTATTAACAGTATCATGTGAACTGATGTGTTAAACTTTGACATCCCTTGCGTCCTTAGAAGCAGAAAGGCCCAAGTAGTAATTCAGCTTCTGCTTTAGTGATTTAAAGCAAGCATACTGATCTGTCATGTTAATTTTGTGAAATTGGTTAAGGGTTTATTCTTCACCAGCGAGCACTTGTGATGGGCTATTTCCATATCAAATTCTATGACCAAGCTTAGTATAAAATTCTATGACAGCTGTGACGCTTGCGCAGGAGTTTTAAATAACTGTAAACATCGCATCGGTCTCTGGGATTTAAAAAGCCTGTCTGTAAAGTGCCTTGGCTGTTTTACTATATTAATGGCACTATACAAATGCAAGTTGATCGTGAAATGTGAACATTGACAACTTCTTGTGATGTTGGTGGCTTGATAGTTAATATCTGTTTATTTCCACAGACCAGTGGGAATGCCAAAAATGGAAAAAGTATACTTGCACAACCCCAGCACAGAAGATACAATCATTTTAGTATCAATATCAGCAACAACATCACACTTTCATGCATCATTTTTTCAAAATAGGGTAAGAATTTTGTATTTTGGATGCATTTCTTCAAATAGCTACAAGATTTTCCATTTTGTAATTGGAAAAGATCTGAAATTTCTATTCTTCACAGGATGTGAAATTATCTGTAGTTATAACCAGGAAAACTGCTTATCACTTGGAATGACTGACTGCAAATGAAAACTTTTTGTCTCACCAGGAAGAGAATGGGGTGTGTGGTTTGGCTGTATATGTTTTTAATTAAGTTTTTGAAGTTGTAATTGGGAAATTAATGGCATGAAGTGATTTCAGCATTTTGAAACAGAATAGATGCCAGTTTTGTAATTGAACAAAACAATAAATTTCTACCTTTTTTCTAGGTTGCAGTTATTGATTGGTTTCAGTGTTCCATTATATAGGGATCATGACATCATAGATCTACTCGGGTAGTACCAGGAATGGGAAATACAGTTGTGAAAACTCTAAAGATACTGGGACTATCTCTATTTGACCAGAGAAGATGCAAAGGAGATTTCATGAAGGTTTTAAAAAGTTGATTTATGCAAGGACATGGTTGGAGAATAAAATATATTTTGTCAGGAAGTCATTCAGGCTGAGACCATTGCATTTGTACAGGAGAAATTGACTAAATGTGAAAATGTCAAAGACAGCCATATCACTGGGTTTGAGTTGATTTAGTGAAGACCAACCTCTTTTTGGGTAAAATGATCTCCTGAGCTGAGTGCATGATATTGTAATTAATTTGAAATGCTGTTAAAGCTTTTTTCTTAAAAAAAAAAAAAAAAAACCTCCTCATTTTAGAATATCTTCCAAATTTCTGTAGATTCTGGATGATTCCTGTGAATCAGAAGGTAGCAATTATCACTACTAATTAAGGGAATGAGTGAGAAAACGGAATGACAACCTGTTTGCCTTGGATCATTAGTAGGGAAATGCTAGAATCTGTTATAAAGAATGTGATCAGTGGACACTTAGATGAGGATGATCTGATTGGGCATAGTAAGTGTGGGTTGGTGAATGGAAAATAGTGTTTAATGACCTGGGAGTTTTTTTTTGAAGGTGCTACTAACAGTTGGTGGAGCAGAACCAGCGGACCTAGTATACTTAGATTTTCAGAAAGCATTTGATAAAGTCTCCCACAGGAGACTGGTTAGAAAGATTTTGACACTTGATAGGTTAATCACTGCCATGGATTAATGGTTTGGTAACTGGCAATAAAACAGCATGGGAATGAATGAATCATTATGTTGTGTTGTACGGAGGATCATAACTTGGATCTCAGCTGTTGACATCATATATATTAATGGTTTGGAGATTGTTTTATCCAGTGTTGCCAATTTTGCAGATGTAACAGAGCTAAGTGGGAAGTGTTTTGTGGTGAGGCTGAGGTGGCTTCAGGAGGATCTTGACAGACATGGTGAATGATGTATAATATAGGAAAATGTAAAGTTATCCACTTTGATAGAAAGGACAGATGCACAGAGTATTTCTTCAATGGAGTTGAAAAATGTAGACGTGCAAAAGGACCTAGTGACTTATTGACAAAGATCTCTGAAGGTTAACCTGCGGATGCAGCAAACTATTTGGAAGGCTAATGGAATGTTAGTCTTTATTGCAAAGGACTTTAATACAGGAGTAAAGAAGTTTTGCTCCACTTGTATAAGAGCTTGGTTAGATTGTACATCCAGTGCAATGTGCAGTTTTGGTCTCCTTGTCTCAGGAAAGATATTATTGCCATAAGACAGTGCAATGAAGGCTCACCAGCCTTGCTCTTGGAATGACCGGGCTATCCTAGGAGGATTAGGTGATCTGTGCCTGTATTCTCCAGAGTTTTGAAGAGATGAGCCTACTGAAACCTACAAAATACTTTAAATGGATGGACAGGCAAATCAGGTAAAATAGTTCCCGTGGTCAGGGACTGTTGAAGCAAGGGGCACAATTTTAAAATAAGGGGATGCTGCTTAGGTCTGAGACAAGGAAAAATAATTTTGCTCAGGATTATGAACCTTTTGTAATCCTGTAAACAGGGCTGAGGAATTTCAGTCTTTTGAGTATATTTAAGATAGAGAATATTTCTGATTATTAACGGTGTACATGATTAAGGCAATGGCATAGGTAAAAGGCTTTGAAGTGATTGAGCTATAGTTGTATTGAGTGGTAGAGCAGGCTTAATGGGCTGAATGACCAACTCGTCTGTATATTCCTAAAATTCTGAAATTTTATTGTTGAAAGCATTTGGATTATGGAGGGCTAATGATTCCTCTTTCACTGTTTTTGTCACTTAAAATTATGAATTTTGTACAGTCCAACGGGCCATCTTTTTCTCTCTGTAATTCAGGTGTGATATAACATTTTGAAGGAACAAATATTTAATGTACATGTTTTGTTTTACTATGCAAATTATGGAGAATATCTCCAATCATCACTATCAGTTGTAGAAATTGTGGTTCATTTTTGAGGATGCCGCTCTAAATTTGTTAACTGTGATAGTTCTTTGAGAATTGAACATTGTTAGTGGATATTTGTAAATATTGTTGCACAAGTGGGGAAAAAATGCTGACCTTGTTTATTTAGGGAAGTATTTTGTACCCTTGTGTCTAACCTACCAGAATGTGCTTGATGCATTCACTGCCATTGTGGCAGTACCAGCCAAATTATATTTAATATAGTTAGAGACAAAAAACAGCAGATGCTGGAATCCAAGGTAGACAAACAGGAGGCTGGAAGAACACGGCCAGCCAGGAAGCATCTGGAGGGAAGAAGTCAACGTTTCAGTTATAACCCTTCCTGGAGCGTAGGAGGCTGAGAGATGACCTTGATAGAAGTTTTTATAAAATCATGAGGGGCATAAATATGGTGAATGGAGAACGCCTTTCCTCCAGGGTAGGGAGTCCAAAACTAGAAGGCATAGGTTTAAGGTGACAGGGGAAAGATTTACAGGGACCTGAGGGGCAACCTTTCACACAGATGGTGATGCATATGTGGAACAAACTGCTGGAGGAAGTAGTAGAATTGAGTACAATTAAATATTTAAGAGATGTTTGGACAGGTACATGAATAGGAAATGTTTAGAGGGATATGGGGCTTGTTTGGCTTAGGAAATCTGGTCAGTGTAGACAACTTGGGCCAAAGGGTCTGTTTCTGTGCTGTGTGACTCAGTTCAGTTAAATATTCTAATCCTGATGTTCAGTGCAAAGAGTAAGGAAGCTTACATTTCCTTTGAGAATGCAGTAGGCCAAGTAGAGGTGTTGGTGGGAGAGCATTTAGGGGACAATAATCGTGGATAATATTTAAGATGGCAGTGTTGAGAGACTATGTAGGTCCCTTTAAGTATAATTAACTTGGGGAGAGCTAACTTCAGCAAGGCAAAATCACAGAAAAATTTACTTTTTGCGTGGTGACCTCCTTTCCGTGCCTTGTGTTTTCTGTTGGTGTAACACAGCTTGTACAGAAATTTATAATTTGGCTGGTAAGGCTGCGATGGCCTTATTCGATGACCCTTGCCCATCTTGACAGGTTGCACATGACAAGTGTGCAAAATAGGCTTTTCTTTCAGGCCTTCACCCAACCCAAAATTTCTCTTTCCATTGTGATTAAATAAATGGAGTCAATACTTAGTGTTGACATAAAATCATTAAAAGAATTGTAGAATCGTACATGAAAAGGCAAATTCAAATTATGACTATTTCGGAAGCCACATCACATCTACGTTTATGTAGCTACGTGAAGCAATAGAATTGTTAAGAGCTGCACAATGTAGAAGCTAATTCCTTTTTGGTTTCCTTTGCATAGATTATTCCACCTGGAGGAAACACTTCCTTTGATGTAGTTTTTCTTGCCAGAGTAGTGGGAAATGTAGAAAATACTTTATTTATTAATACGTCACTTCATGGGGTATTTACATACCAGGTAAGTACATCTTATTAATGTTTGTGTGATACTTAGTTTGATTCAGACTTGTATTAAAATGTTTGAGGGGTGCACGCGTGCACAATACCCCTTTTTCAAATCTGTCCCCGCAAAGTAATTTGACAATACAAGTGTTCACCTTTTTTTAAGCCAGTTGGACTTGACAAGTTAGACAAAACTTTCATACCTTTGAGTCCATATATGTTTATATTTCTTGATCTTTGTTTAACATTTAAAAAAAAATCTAAACTTCATTTTTTTCATTGTTTCAGGTGTTTGGTGTTGGAATACCAAATCCATATCGCTTGCGCCCATTTATAGGGGCAAGAGTTCCTGTAAATAGCAGTTTTTCACCTTTAATAAATATACACAACCCTCACAGTGAACCTTTACAGGTGGGTTAATCTTCTTTGTTTGGCCTTTTTCACTGAAGTTGTGATTTCAAGTCCAGATTTCTGGTCTTGAGTCTTGACACAGCCTTCTTGGGAGGTAACAACTTCAACTGAGACAACAAGGTGCAGGGCTGGATGAACACAGCAGGCCAAGCAGCATCATAGGAGCAGAGAGGCTGACGTTTCGGGCCTAGACCCTTCATCAGAAAAGGGGGAGGGGAAGGGGGTTTTGAAATAAATAGGGAGAGAGTGGGAGGCGGATAGTTGCAGTGGGAGAGAGATCCCTTGAGTTTTGTCCGGAGGGAGGAGGGTAACTTCTTCAGGTTAGGCATCCTTAGAAGAGGTTTCGCAGTGGGGTTAAAATCGAATCAGAGATAGTAGGAACTGCAGATGCTGGAGAATCCGAGACAACAAGGTGCAGGGCTGGATGAACACAGCAGGCTACTTCAACTGAGAGATGGTTTCTGATGAAAGCAAGAGATTTAAGGAAATGGATTGGACCAACAGCTTCCAACGCAGGAACACCATTCTGGTGTTTTTACTTCCCAGTGTAACAGTAACTATGTTTGTTATCAAAGACAATAGTGCCCAATAATGCCAATTTGACATTTCTTTAGATTTTAAGGATTTTGGATTGGGACTTGAAACCACAACCTCTGATTCAGATAGGGCATGCTCCAAATGACAAGTTTAAGAGGAACAGAGATAGTAGGAACTGCAGCTGCTGGAGAATCTGAGATAACAAGGTGTAGAGCTGGATGAACACAGGCCAAGCAGCAACAGAGGAGCAGGAAAGCTGACGTTTAGGGCCTAGACCCTTCTTCAGAAATGGGGGAGGGGAAGGGGGTTCTGAAATAAATAGGGAGAAAGGGAGAGGTGGATAGAAGATGGATAGAGGAGACAGACAGACAGGTCAAAGAGGTGGGGATGGAGCCAGTAAAGGTGAGTGTAGGTAGGGAGGGGATAGGTCAGTCCGGGGAGGATGGACAGGTCAAGGGGGCGGGATGAGGTTAGTAGGTAGGAGATGGGGGTGGGGCTTGAGGTGGGAGGAAGGACAGGTTAGGGAGGCGGGGACAAGCTGGGCTGGTTTTGGGATGTGATAGGGGGAGGGGAGATTTTGAAGCTTGTGAAATCCACATTGATACCATTGAGCTGCAGGGTTCTCTCGTCCTCGCGTACCACCCCATCAACCTCCGGATCCAACGCATCATCCTCCGACACTTCCACCATCTGCAATCTGACCCCACCACCAAAGACATTTTTCCCTCCCCACCCTTATCTGCTTTCCAGAGGGATCACTCTCTCGGTGACTCCCTTGTCCGCTCGAAACTCCTCTCCAGCCCCACCACACCCTGCACTTTTTTTCCCTGCACCGCAGGAAGTGCTACACCTGCCCCCACACCACCTCCCTCCCTCTCTTCCCCCCCCCCCCCCCCCCCACCAATGCCAGGCCCCAAGAAGACTTTCTACATCAAGCAGAAGTTCACCTGCACATCTGCTAACGTGGTATACTGCATCCGCTGTTCCCATTGTGGCCTCCTCTACATCGGGGAAACCAAGCAGAGGCTTGGGGACCACTTTGCAGAACACACACGCTCGGTTAGCACTAAACAAGTGCACTTCCCAGTTGCAAACCATTTCAACTCCCCCTCCCATTTCTCAGACGACATGTCCATCCTGGGCCTCCTGCAGTGCCACAACGATGCCACCCGAAGGTTGCAGGAACAGCAACTCCTATTCCGCTTGGGAACCCTGCAGCCCAATGGTATCAATGTGGACTTCACAAGTTTCAAAATCTCTCCACCACACACACACCACCTCCCCCCCCCCCCCCCCCCCCCCCCCACCCCCAACAGCATCTGAAAACCAGCCCAGCTCGTCCCTACCTCCCATCTATCCCCACCCCATCTCCTGCATACTAACCTCATCCCGCCCCCTTGACCTGTCTGTCCTCCCTGGACTGACCTATCTCCTCCCTACCTCCCCACCTACACTCACCTTTACTGGCTCCATCCCCGCCTCTTTGACCTGTCTGTTTCCTCTCCACCTATCTTCTCCTCTATCCATCTTCTATCCGCCTCCCCCTCTCTCCCTATTTATTTCAGAACCCCCTTCCCCTCCCCCATTTCTGAAGAAGGGTCTAGGCCCGAAACGTCAGCTTTCCTGCTCCTAAGATGCTGCTTGGCCTGCTGTGTTCATCCAGCTGTACACCTTTTTAAGAGGAACACTTTTTTGTTATAACTGAGTGATCGAGTAATTTTAAGAATGATTTTAGTTTTGTTTAAAGTTAGATAATGACATTCTACTTGATGGTGTTGAATATGGAAGTTATAGGATTTGAATCATTTTCCAAACAACTTATTTAAATGTACAGTAGTGATAATCAAATGGAACAGTTCCAAAGTTTTACTTCACACACATTATATCTGTGCTAATCCTTCAATTCATGTCTTCCTCTTTTCCATCACTCAGCATGTTTAGTATTGCACTTATTAGTCTGTTGCAAGACTGGGGCTTAGTTTATAATATGGTGTTAGTTTTGTTCATAATCTGCTGGAAGAGATCAGAAATAACAGGGTTCACTCCAATTATTCTTGACATGAAGTGAAAATTAAAGCATTTAGAGAGTCCAGTAGCTATGACACTTTGAGAATGTGAACTGAAATGTTTTAAAATGTTTGGCTTGTGTAGCTGTGCTCATGGGTTAGGAAAGAACACAGCAGTAACGTGTGATGTGCAAAACTGAAATTGTGCTTCCATCCGAGAGTAAGTGATGTTTAGGCATATGCCCAGTGACTAGAGGAGTTCGGGTTTCGTGGGATGTGGCAGGACTGCCAACAATTTGGAAAAGCTCTAAAAGTGGCCTTGTGTTGCCAGGATTTTAGTTGCTTAAGGCATAAGAGAACTCTTGAGGTCAGAAAGTGGTTTTTCCACGGTGGAAGAAGTGGCTGAATAGCTTATAGGATTCCTTAATGAAAAGTTTCATGACTCATTTTAGTTAAATATAGAGAGGAAAGAAGTAAATGATGAGTAATTCCAAAATTACTTTTATCCAGGAGGAAGGTTAGGAATGTTGGCAGTGATTTGGAAGCTGAACTTGTCTAAGTAGTGGCGATGTTAAAATTAACGATCTGGAGCTAATGATGCTCCATCATGTGGTAGGAGTGTGTAGCTGCAAGTGACAGTGCCAGGTAGCCTGTTCTTTTCAGCAAACTAAAATAAATGACCAAATTAACTACCCCTCAGAGGCATTGTATCTAAAACAGCAGTTAGGACAAGCATCAAGAAACTACTTAGTGTGACAGATTTTAAATAATGTCTAGAATAGCTTCTTTTGTAGCTGCCAATTGTTCATCTTTGAAAGAAATAGGTCTACTCAGTTTTATTTCCCATTTTTTGTGCTGCAAATCCTAACTTATCTTGGTTGCTTTTCTGTCTCTGAAACTTGTAAGCAATTGCGAGCAATAGGGGCATTAATAGGGACATAAGCGTAACAGTAATATTACTGGACCAGTATCCAGAGGCTTCAATCCTCCAGCGAGACTAAGTCAAATCCCCGTCCTTCCGTCCTTCCCTCCCCACCCCCCCACCCCGCCCCCGGGGCTTGAGGGATTGAACTTCAATTAATCAATAAATCTGTACTAAAACTCTAACTCTTAATAATAAAGAAACTCCAATTTTTCATTAAAACCCATGTGCTCTACTCAGTCCTTTCTTTTAAGAAATGAAATCTGCTACTCTTACCCAATCTGGCCTCGGTCATTTCAGACTGGGATGATGTGATTCGCATTCAGCTCCCCTGAGTTGGCAGAGCAGGCCACCCAGTTGTAGCCAAATCCCTAGCGCTTCATGGCCATGGGGATGAGCAATAAGTACCAGCCTTTACAGTGATGCCCACGTCCTAAAGAACAGCTTGCTTAGGACTGTGTCAAGTTCCAGAGCACTAGTCTTCAGTACTGTTGCCAGGATGTTGTCTGGATCCGTTGCCTTTGCTGAATCTAGTGCCTCCAACCATTTCTTGATATCACATAGTGAATTGAATTGACTGAAGACTGGCATCTGTGATGCTGGGAACCACTTGGGGGGTGGCCAAGATGAATCAGCCACTTGGCAATTACATTTGAAGATTGTTGAGAGTGCTTCCACCTTATTTTTTTTGCATAAATCTCATAACATTCAAGGCTACGAAACAAAGTGCTGGAAATTGGGATTAGTGTAGAAAGGTCGGCACAGATTCTGGCCAAAGGGCCTCTTCGGTGTTGTATGACTCTGAATCTCTCTGACAAGAAACATTGGACTGTAACTGTTGGAAAAAGAAATTTGATCTACTTAAATCTATTTTGTGTTACTTCATTTGAAACGCCTCCGCTTTGGATAACATTAAGCAAAATTAATTACATTTTTTCTCCTGTTCACTTTCTTATTACCAACTTTAGTGAAGCTACTTTTTGACTTGGTTACATCAAGTTGTGTTTTTTTTTGTATTGCACAAATTTGTGATGCCCTGAAATAGGACTGTTGAGATTGATGCAACAGACATGCACTTGACATCCACAAATAGTGATTATGGATGGAATAAACTGGCACACAATCAATATTGTGAAGGTCTCAATTGATTTGGCTGTCTTAAACAAATACGACACGCAAATTTTAAGTACCGAGCCAGCTAAAGTTTCAGTTTATTGTTTCAAATTTTGATAATGCGCTGTAGTAGATGTGAGCTTCCATGTTTGGGTGCATTCTGTAGACGTCAGTACTGATCGCTAATCCTTAATGACCTAATTGCAAGAACTAATTGGAAAGCAAATAATAATCATATACAAATACAGTATGGTTTTCTATTATACAGATTACTTCATTCAGATTTTTTAATCATTTTGAGCTTATCTGATTTTCTTCCATTTGCAAGTCTGCTATTTTTAAGATCAAATTCAGGAGCAGTTATAATACAAATCAAATTTGATTTTTTTTTAAAAAGTTGAATTTAAAGATGAATCATAATATTATTGGCTTTGCTAACCTTTTCAACTTTCCTGGAATTGATATCTCTTAGTACAGCAAACTTTGTTTAAACCGGCATCTTATCAGCTGGTACTCTTGATAAAAGAGCAATAATCATATACCTCAGCTACTACAATCTACTGCAATGTGAGTGTTTATGCTTTAAATTAAGTGATATGTATACCCACAGCATTACGTTTCTATTACTCAGCTGTGTTATTACACTTATTTTAGGTGCTGATGTTTTAAGATGTTGAGTACCACCTCTTCTGTACTATGGACTTTTATTTTTCAAGATATCACTTTTTATTTTCCCAAGTTCTGTGGCTTCCATGTTCTCCTCCTACAGTAAATACTGGCATGAAATACTCCATTTTGTATCTCATTCGTCTCCTGTGGTTGCACATAGAGAGAGCCTTGTTAATCTTCAAGGGGCCCTATACGCGCTCTCTAGTTATTTTCAAGGTTTGTCATTGCAGCTTGTGTAACTATTTCAAGTTCATGCTATTGCAGAGTTCTGGTTACAAAAATTACATGTGGATTAAACAAAACAAGCCTGAAATGAATAGATTGGTGTATATGTTGAGAATTAGGCCAACTAATTTTGATTCTGCTTGACGTGTATATTTCTGGAAAATGTTACTTGTCATCTCCTCCTGTGGGTGAGTGCAGTGTGCAACCGACTGTACTATTGAGGAGTGGGAGCCATGGAGTTCCCACTACTTTTTGTTTTTTTTTAAAAAAGGTTGAGGTAAGTATGTACTTGCTGTAGGCAATACTAAACACTATCAAAATTATGAATCACTATTATCCCAGGGTTGAATATCCTTCTGCTTGTGTAGGGAATGAGAAATTGGATTGGCCTGTTATTGCTGTCTCTTGTTTGGAAGGCAGCTTTTTTATCTGTACTAATTTGGAAATAATGAGGCGCACTGGAATCTGTGTTGCTAATTTATATTGCAGCATCAGTTGCCACATTCAGAACTTGAGGAAAAAGTTCAGATGCTGCTTTTCTAAAGTGAAAACAGCACCCTGACTCCAATTCAGTTTCAAATTTTGCAACATTCTCTAGCCTAAAATGGCCAGCATCTGTTTGGAATTTAATTTCTCTTGCCAAGACGAGAGCTCTAAATATTTGCTTCGCTCTATGCAGTTAAAATCGTAAACCCAAACATAAGGTTCACTGGAATGTACAGGAAAGAATAGGCCATTTGGCCAAACCAGTCTATTTTGCTTCAATTGAGCCTCCCTGTTTTTGCCCCACATCTAAATTTGCCATCATAATTATCTATTCCCTCTCCCTCCAATGTTTGTCAAGTTTCTGCTTAAATGCACCAGTCCTTTTTTTTGCTTTCAACTGTTTCCTATAGTAGCAAGTTCTACATTCTTGCCTCTCTTTAGTAAAGTTTCTGCACATAAACTTAAATGTCCACGAGGGCCCGAGGACTTTACAAATAATTAAGTTGTGTGAATCACCGTGTAGGATTAGAAGACAGTGAGAGTGCTGTGCTTTGGACCAGAAGGTAAACATTGTATCATACAATCTCCCCTGTTTCTCACTCCACTTTGTCTGGAGTCAGGTCACACACCTGACATTTTCATCAGTTGTTAAAGGCCAACTTTTTTTTTCTTTCGTAGGGCTTTGAAAAAAATGCTTCATGAAAATTTGGTTTTTATTTTGCCAGGTAGTTGAAATGTATTCAAGTGGAGGAGATCTGCACTTAGAACTTCCAACAGGTCAACCAGAAGGCCCTAGAAAATTATGGGTAAGTACCACAAGGTCATCACTGCTCTGGAACTAATCCGTAGATAAATGTGGGACATGTGATTATTTTACTTCCTATCTTGTAATGCTATTTTGATGTTATTTTTAAGGCTATTTGGAGGAATTGGGTTCTTATTAAATTTGATTTGGTATTCACTAATTTATTGCCTATGTAATACTGACTCAGAACCCAAATGTGTTTATTGTTTGAGTTAAATCCCTTCATATGTATGCCTCGCAGCAGAATCTTTCACCAGATGTCTCTAGAATTAAGAACCCTTTTACTTGCATCTTTTTGCAATGCCTTGGGACTTTTTACTTTTATTAAGGATACGACATATAAGTTTTTCTCTTTTGCCGGTGAGGGTGGATGGTTCTTGATCTGCAGTCAGGCTATAGATTTAAGGTTTTGACCCAGTTTACTTCAGTGAGAATGTTTTGGATACTGCTAATCGATGATGGAGAGAAATGGCCCAGAAATTACAGGTCTTGGATGAATTTGTGCTGTTTCTTTTAGAAATAAGTTTTTTTTTAATAGAAATAAGTTTTAACTACATATTCCCTAAGCAAACTAGGCATCAGTCACTGATGAAAGTCTGTCAGTTTTGACATTGATGTGTAAAGGCTAGCTCATATCTGAGAACTTAAAGTAATTTCAATAACTGGAGCAAATATGGCATATACGCAGGAGTTAGGATCGACATTAAAATCAACATTTGGTTGTCTGCCTGGTGAGTTTGGCTGAATCATTTTGAAGTGTTGTTTGGGAGGCCCTGTGCTTCTCCAGCAGTTGTAGTGTGGTGAAAATTACAAGTCCACCTTTTCAGAAGAAGAAGATTTAAAACTTTTTGTATGAAACAATTCTGGTACTACGAAATGGAATCGATAATGAATTCCAAGACGTTATTTTGGGTGTTAAGTAAATTTTCACATTGACAATGACAATGAAAATTGATGGATGGAAAATAACTCATGTAGTTTGTTATCATACACCCTGTAGTATTCTTTTACGGTGCCACTAGAGAAATTGTGATTACCGTGGAGAATGGTAGATGTCACTATTTATACAGGCTACAAAAAAAGGATATCTTTACTAGTGGTTCGTCAGTCATTTACAGTGTTTAACTGGGTCAGGAAATATGAGCACAAGCTGAGTTTATGCCGTTGCGCTTATACAAGACCTGGTTGAACTTGTTAAAGTTTGTGCAGTCTAACGCAGTGCTGTTAAGCTGTGCAAATTCAGTATAATTTTAAGCAGGAATGCTTGTTTTACACTTAAATTTTATTAATGTATTTAAATGGATCTATATTACATCTGCATTGATCTGAACAGTAAGATTTACTTTAAGATGCAGTACACCGGTTTGCATCTCCCTAGTACCTGTCCACCATCTACAAGGCAACATTCAGGTGTGATTTGATGCTCCCCACTTATTTGGGTAGGTGAAACTCCAGCAGCACTCTAGGAGCTCAACAGCATCAAGGACAAGGCAGCTGCTTAACTGGCACCCCATCCACTTTCTTCATTCACTCACTCCCTTTACCAGTGTCACAGCAACAACAGATGCCATCTACAAAATGCAATGGAGCAACTCATCACTGCTCCTTTTTGTCAGTAGTTTCAAACCTGTGATCTCTAACACTTAAACAGATAAAGGCAGTAGATGCATTAGAGTACAAGACGAAGCTAGCTAGAAATATAGCAAATTTTTACAGATCCTTAGAAAAGGAAAGGGTTGACAAAACAAAAATCTTTCTTGTAGAAAGTGAGTAAGGAGTATCAGGAATGTCAATTAAGATGGCAGATGACTTGAACAGGCCTCTTTCCATCTGAGATAACAAGGTGTAAGAGCTGGATGAACACAGCAGGCCGAGGAGCAGGAAGGCTGACGTTTCGGGCCTAGACCCTCCTTCAGAACATTTTCTGAAGGGTCTAGGCCTGAAACGTCA